CTGGGGGGAAGGAGCCCCGGGTGCCGCGGAAGCCCGGGGTCAGGTGGAGGAGTGGGGCAGTGAGAGATCTCTGTGATGTGGGACGTGAGGGGAAAAGAGCTGGTTCGAGAAGTGGTTAAATTGTGCAAAAGGGAATAAAAGCAGTGTTTTTCTTCTGGTTCTTCTCCATATAATCTCAGCCCCCGAAACACCTTCAACTCGAGGAATATCGAGATGATAGTTTGGTAGTAACATGATAAAGTGCTAGTGGTGCTGTACATCACTAAAACAAGGCTGTTAAAATCATGCTAACAGGGTTACAAGTATCTAAAGTATCTCTAGTATCTTCAAACAGAAGAACGTGTATGTAAAGATCTAAGCTTTCTCACAAATATTTAGACAGGTTTTCCAGTGCTCACACTCAAATTGATGAATAGGTTCCTCTCACATGAATCTTCATATTTACTTTTTTAAGGCATTTAAAATGTGCATATATATCTGCAAAGGATGGTGCCAACGAGGACAGACAGAGAAATTAAAATAAAGCATTTTGCCTTAATTTTTTACAGCAAAAGAAACTCTTTGGCTTTGCTCTCTGTCTGGATCTTGAAATAGTTTGGCTCAGTACATAAATCTGAATGATTCGGTACGTTTAGTGAAGTGACATAAGTTTATGTGTTCTTTACTATTATTAATAAGTTTTATTCTTCTTAAGATTCCACTTTCTGTGGGTCACCATCTGGCAGACCAAGATTAAAACCAAATCCATGGAGCATCAGTGAGCTGAGGTGAAGTGGAAGGATCTGTTCCACTTGTGTAGGGGTTTTTGGTGGTTGTCATCAGAGATTTATAAATACATACCTGAATTAGGATACTGAGTTTGGCCTACAAGCTTCTGGCAATCATCATGTCTCTTGTAACTTCTGGGAAAAATAAACCAACAGGATTTGATACAGTTTTGTGATCCACCTCAAGATATCTCAGTGGTAGGAGAAAGTCATAAAACTATGACTTTATTCTTTAATTAACATGTTTTATAGAAAATATGATATGAGGTAGCTGCTAAATTTTAATCTTATTTTAACCTGGCTAGTAGATTCATGTTTTGTGATAGAGAACTCACATGTTTTTTTATATAAATCCATGTACTGGATTTTTGCATATACTCCACTCCTTTGATTCCATTTGTTCTGAGGCAGTTCCTGCCTTCAGGGCAAGTTTCCTGACTCGTGCTCCAATTCTTGAAGCAAGCACGCAGAATTTGCAGTTTCAGTGGGAAACAATGTGTTAGAGATTAGCATAAATTATCTGTACGGTTTTATTATGGTTTAGTTTGTATTCTGCATCTTTTGAGTGAAAGATAGTGAATTCTTTGTAGTGATGTAGCTTTTTAACTTTTTTTTTTAATAGAATCTGTATTTTTGATCGTTGATAAGATTCCAACACTTTGAAGCAGATTGTTTGAAATGCAAAGACTTAAAGCCAAAATTATCCAGGTACATTTGACAGTTTTATTATTATATTTTGATTGGTCTTACTCCAGTTCTACTATTAAGAGGCGTAGCTGTAACAATTTTCTGCTAGAGAGCATATAATGTATTTCTTCAGCAAATAATTGCTGTTCAGGCTTCTCATCAAAAATACTGCCATGTCTGCTTCCTTCTGGTGGTGTTTAGCTCTGTGTCTGTGCAGCATTCACCTCCAGAAATGTCACCTGGCTTTGTGGCTTTTGTAGCTGCAACAATTTCCCGAATTCCTCAAAAAGAAGATTTTTATTTATTTGTAAGTCAGTTATCAGGTGATGTTCTGGAGTCATTCTGCTGGCTGAAGATGTAGTTCCAAGGTGTTCCACAGCTCCAGCTTGTTGCAGGTGTTTTTTCTCTGTGCTTCTTTCCTAGTGTTTGATATAACAATATGATCCTGCCATTTTGTAATTCTCAGTAATTTCTGTAGAAGTTTTCATAGGTAAAATACTTTTTTGGTTTCTTTAGCTAAACAATGTATGATTTTCCTGGTTTAATGCATAATGCCTCATAAGTAACTTTTAATAAAATAATTTAAATAAATTAATACTAGAAACAGCTTAGCTAAATGAGGTCTTTTTAGTGCACCTCATGATTAGATAAGGAACAGAATAAACAACTCCATGCAATGAAGACTCTTTAGTGCAATCAAGGTGATGTTGCTTTTTCTTTCACTCTGGTTCTTTGTGATTTCAGTAGAAAAGAGTGAATCCCTCTTGGGATTACTGTGCTAGTGTAAATGTTAGCCAGTACAGCTGTTTCCTTGGATCTTTAAACATTTATGTGTTTGTCTGCAGGCACCCAAAAGTAAAGCAATTACTGCCAGTCAGGAGCTGGACCACTTTGATCATTCCCTGTATAGCTTTCTCTTTTGCATTGAGCATAGAATCCATTGTGACTCTTAATTTATTTTTTTTTAAGTGAACAATACAACTTTTTCATGCTCTGTCACTTTTAGTTTTCCTTCTAGTGTCTACTGAAAATTGGTGTCTTGTTCTGGTAGCATGCTGTACAGAAATAAGCAATCTGAATTATGATAGGTTGAAAATAGTTTTTTCTTTATTAATTCTTCAAAAATGGAGTTCCTGCATGCTGAGTAAATTACAACTGAATTTACCCTGACAAGTGATGGAAGCACCAGTGTGGCTTTGAACACAAAATTCTTCCTGGTATTGTAGACAATAAACTGTTGTCAGGGACCTTAAACCATTTTTTTACCATTATAATTTGAGAAAATCTTCGTATAAGTCAGAAGACATTTCTAAAAGGCATAATGCTGAAAAATGGTTTTAAAAATGACTTGTTTAATCCCATATTTGATCAATCCCAAGGGAAATTTTAATTTCAGCATTAAGACTCCCTTTTTTCATCTCTCTGTCCATCCCAGGTGGCAAAGCTGGCAGCTGTTTCTTCTGGGCTGCCATTTGTATGTATTACTGTATATGCAGCAACAGAAAAGGAATCAAAAAGTCAGCTGGTGAAGCCAGATAAGGTATCTCTTCCTCTTTTTTGGTCTTTTAAATAATACTAGAAAAATCTGCAGAATAGCAGCTCTGTCCATTGAATTATATTACCCAGTAACTAAAATACATAGCAAAGTAATAAATGATAATAAGTAACTGACCACTATGGCTCAAATAAAACACAAAGTGTTACAATACTAAATTAGTAAAGTTTTATCTTATTTTCATCATTACAGTATTTCAAAAATGAAGTCAGAAAAGGTGAAAATAGAACTACTGATGAGTCCTTTCCTAATGTGCAATTCCTAGTGATACCCACATCCATCTTCTAATTATTCTTTCACTTGCCTTTGCTCCATAGTGAGTAATTCTGCTTCTCAGAACCTATACAATTATTTCAGTTTTCATTTCTAAGGAGTGAAGTCCCACTTGAGCAGAGTCAGTTTGGAACTCTAAAAGTTCACAATTCCACGTAGCGGCTTTGTTTGCCGTAATGGGAGCACTGAGGGTTTTGCAGGCTTGAAAAACCCACTGCAAATGCAGCAGCTGATGAGAGCAGAGAGCTCTGGCCCTGCTGTTCAGCTGTGCCTTTGTTTGCAGCTCCCCATTTACAGTGCACCCCCTCTGAAGTCCAAGTACATCGAGGAGCAGCCCGGGCGCCTGCAGCAGCAGCTCACGGCAGTGCGGACGACAACCGGCCGCTATTTTGGCTGGTGTCAGGTAAGGGATGTCTGCACCAACATTTCCTGCAGTTCCTCTCAGCACTACACTAAACCACTGAAAAAAAACCAGGTTACTTCCCCCTGGAGGGATTTTTTGGCAGTTCCTTGTCTTAGCATAAGATAATTTTGGATGGGAAAATGAGCCTTCCTTCTACAGCAGGAGTTATGTCAGTAAATTCTTGCTGGCAGAACTTGAGGGAGTTTTAGAGTCTGACATTCCAGGTATAGTCCATGGAGAAGGAGCTGCTTCCAAAGGGCAGTACCTGACAAAAACCACATACAGAATTCATCCCATCTATCTGTTGTAGCAGGGAACCTCACAGGCATCAGAAACACCTCCCAGCTCTGTTACTGCGTGTTCCAGGTGGAGGGACTGTGGTGCCTGTCACTGCTCTTGGACCTGCTTGGAAACAGCAACTTCACCCTGGCTGTTGGCAGGAGGAGATTTTGTGCTTGTGTCTTGCTTTTGCAATAAAATGTAGACCCTGATAGTTGAAAAAAAGAAAATTAAAAATGTATTTTCTGTAAATTGTGATTCCATTGGTCTGTGAAAACGTTGTCAGTGACTGCATGACTGAAATACTCGTTACAATCCTGTACCAAACTTTTTTATCCCGTTAATCATTGTTCCTGTCACTGAGTAGCAGTGACCTCTGGTGGTACAAATTCGGTGTTGCTCTTTCAGTTTTCCTGGGAAAGTCTCTAGGGAAGAGAAGATTGTATTTCAGAACTGAATTTTCTTTGACAGTTGACGTCCAGTTATTTTCCTTCTCTACAGTTCCTGAGATGTCAGTTTTGAAAAAACTGAAAAAACTGAAAGTGAGCTTACATTAGAGAGTTGTTTTTTTTTAATTAATTGTCAATATAAGTTTTAAAAATATGAATATGTAAAAAAGAGGGTAGATCTCTGTACAGCATTTCTAGAAGGTCACTGACCTGGTTTGGGTCTTTTAAAGTTACACAATATTTCTTTTGTCTCCTTGTGCTGAGATATATGGGAACAGCTACATTTGCAGAGATTTTACTTTCTGGTTTTGGTTTTTTCTTTCCTTTTAGAGTGTCTATGTCTTCATTAAAAACGGAATAATGGATACAATTCAGTTTGGAAAAGGTAGGCAAGTCACATATCTGTCTCATTTTATCTATATAAACTCAGTAAAATCAAAATGTTCACCTTTATTTCTTAAGGGGGAAATAAAATCAAATGACTGATACACAATTGCCCTGCTTCTTTTTTTTTGTCTTTTTTTCCAATTCTTAGATGCTTATGTTTACCTGAACAACCCCCCCCCAGAATTTCTTCCCAAAGCCGCTGTAATTACGGTGTCAGGCCTGGTTGGTGTAGTGCTGGCAAGAAAAGGTAGGGTTTGCTTGTTTTCATTACTGGTCTGTGGGGTATGGAGCATGTAACAGTTCAGTGGTCAGAATGCTCTTCTGAAACATTGGCAAAAGCCTGTGTGACTGAAAGAATCCTTCCTGGTAAAGGAAGGGACATTATTGATTGTTGTTAGGAGAATGACAGAGAGCTGAGAGCTGACAGAGCAGGACTAATGGTACAATGCTTCTTCTCATTTTTCATGATACTGGAAAAGATAGTTTTGGCTTATTTCTCTTTCAGAATATCAATGTCTCCTGCATTTAATTGCTACAACTACTTAGTTTGCATTTCATTTTGTCTAATTATTCAAAATATTTGGCTTTGTACAGGTTCTAGATTTAAGAGAATTGCTTATCCATTGGGACTTACTACTGTAGGATATTCTGTTTGTTACCCAGCTCAGTCAGTGGTCATTGCTAAGGTAAGTTTCTGGTTTTATCTGTGGTCATCTCCAACATAGTGGAACAAGTTGGATCCTTTAACCTGATGCTCCATCTATTGTGCCAACATTACCAGCAGACTTTGCTGATCAGGGTTTTATTTCATTTGGATTTAGCATGGAAATGTGGATTCCTAATACCAATTTAAACATTATTTACAATTTGCTTGATGTGAGGGAAATATGCACTAGATCTTGAAAAGTAGATGCCTTAGTATCAGATCAAGCATGTTCTCATGCAAACATGATTAATTTCATTTGAATAGTCTGTATTTTAAAAGCTGTTGTTAAATTATGTTTTTCTAAAAAAAAATAGGTAACTGGGAAAAAGTTACTTTGTGCGAGTCATCAGACCTATGAGGCTGTGAGGTCACTGTGGGCAGACAAGGAAACTGTCACCAAGGTAGGACTTGGGAAGTAATGATAACTCACACATTGAGAGGGAGCTTGTAGACTCTTCTGCTGTTCAAGGTTTACTGATGGTGTTAAGCGAGGCACAAACCCCAATCTGATCTTTTTGTCACTTCGGTGTTTAATTGTTTTTACACCTTTCACACCAGTAGATATTGAGATCCCCTCTGTAGCCCCACAATGCATGCAGGGTGCACAAGAGAAGAATTAATTTCTCTTAGACCTCCTTTTTTACCTTGGCATAAAGGATCCAGTTTGATTCGAGCTTTAGTCTTAAGCAGCCCCTGAATTTAGACAAAGGCACTCCGGATTACAAGTAGGTATGACTGGCTACTCTTCTACAACCCTTGCAGGAAGTCTGGTTTATTTACCCTGTGATATGAATTGTCCATATCAGATTTATTTCTTCTCCTTGTCCTGTCCTCATTGCAGCCATAGTGAATAAATGGTCAGCAGTTTCTTTATATTGACCTACTACACAGGGAAAAGTTAGCAGGGTTTTTGACATTCTCTTCCCCACTATAACCCTCTCAAAGCAGGCTTTCTATCCCTGACATAATTCTTGTTCCCCTCTATTTTCCTCTGGTTTCTCTGCTTTTCTGTTTTTAGGGGATTTTGTGTGTGGTTTGTGTTGTTTGTGGTTTTTAAGTGAGGTGGTCAAAAGAGGACATAATAAACAGCTGAGGCCTTGCCAGCCTTCTGTAAATTACATATGGGAGCTGGGTTAGTAATCCCAGAATTAAATGTGGGTTTTATCCACCCCGAAAGGTTTTTTTCTCAAGTGGGACTCTATAAAACCTTGATGAAAGTAGCATTTCCCAAGTAAAATTGCAGCTGTGCACAGTAATTTTTCATTGCTCTTTTCAAAGAAAATTTCAGTTTCTCAGTTACATTAACATGTAGAACTCTTTTGCTTTAAATTTACGGTGCTCACTGGCATTCAGTTTTATTTCCTCTGAGAAGCATAAATGGAATTCTGAGTTTTGAAAATGAGATTCTGATAACTGTCATTAAACTGATAGCAAAACAAGAATTGATGTGGTACAGACACTTTTATTAACTTCATTTTTTTTCCCCTGAGTGAAACCTCTTCCCAAGACATATTATTTCTCATCAGTGTAACCATGATTTATCTTTCCATCTTCTGCTAACTAGGTGTAGTAAATGTTCTTTAAACACTCAGGGCTATTTCAGTCTTGTGTAAGGCTAAAGGCTTCTTACCTGGAAATGAACTTGTGAGGTTCTTGGAGGGTCTCAGGTAAAACCACAGCTTCAGTCATATATATCTGTATTCAGTATATACTCATGGCATGTTCCCTTCTACATGAATTTATTCTATCTGATCTGTGGGGATTCATGCACTTTACTTTTTCCAGCTGTGTCCCTTGTGTGCAGCTGACTATTTGAATATCATTGTATGATGTCATATCTAAAAATAATTTCATGAAAGATAAGCTGGCAGACTTGAAAGCTTTATTTTGTAATAATGTATTAAGCATATACCCATGTGCTTTCTTTTATTAATGTTTGGTTCACATCTGCAGCAAGAGTCAAAACCAATTATGCAAGAAGATAAGAAAAAGAAGGGAATTTCTAATACCAAACCTGAGTCTGCTGTTGAGTCAAGATCATTTAACACAACAGAATCTTCTCCAGGAGAGTCTCGGAGTAATGAAGAGCCAGTGCCTTCATCAGGTGAATTAGACATTTCAAGTGTAATCTCAGGGCAACTTGCAAATCCAATTAGTTGACTTAATTTTGCACTTACTCTTGCTCTAAACTGGAGCAGACTGTCAGTGCATATTATTCTTGAGAGCATATTTTACATGCTGTCATTTAATACATATTTCAGAGCCTCGGGGAGGTGATAATTTTCTCACTGTGGACCCTGTCACAGTAGCAGAATTAAATATTTGCTAGTCTCTCTCAATAATGTCAGAGAACCAGTATTAATGTAAACCTGGTTCTTTCATAGGTCAAAATAAGGAATAATCCAAAGCAAGACACACAAAAAGGTTTTAATTTGGATTATAATTAGAAGATTGAAGTCTCAAATGGATTTCATTACTTTTAGCCTCTGCTAACAATGCAGAGATGATCCATAGTGGAATGAAAAAGGAGTGTGTAATTGAGAAATGAAGCATTGGATTTTACTTTACTAGGTTTTCTGCCATGGTTCCTTGTGCATCTTAAGTGGTTGAGATAATCAACTAGATGATGTAACAGCCTATTTAACAGACTAAAATTTGGTAGTCCAATTTGTAAGAGAAAACAGTGGAATTACCTATTAAAGGAGAACAAAATTTGTTTTGTTACCTTTTGAATGGGCAATTTCTGAATTTTGTTACAAGGAAATCACTTGGAAGGAAGGAATTGTTACCAGATTTTTTTTTTCTGGAAAGTAAGCAGAACTTATTTGGATGTGGGTTTTAATATCTTTTTCCTTTATTTTCACTGTAATATGCATTCATATCTTTGCTTTGCACCTGAATTTTTTCTGATTTAGTTTGTGGAATGCTTTGATCTGTTTTTACACTTGCTTCAGTCCAAACTGTCTTTTTTGGGTTTGTGTTTATAGATCTGTCTTTACTTTTATAAGTGGAATTAGTTCATGTCCCTAATACAGCCAAAAATATCCATGCCCTAAATGAATCTGTGTTGCCAGAGATGTTTATTTTCTCAGTCCAAATGGGACAAAGCTTTCAGGAGAATGTAACATTCTTTGTAGCTGGAAAAGAAGCAGATCAGCAGCAGGAGACATAACCTCAGAAAAGCTGCCTTTGTATTCCCCTAGATCCTCTGGAACTGCAGTACCATTAAATCTGTCAGCCTGTGCACTGTCCTTCAGTGGGTGGGAGGGTTCAGTGTTTTACTAAACTCAGTTCATGGTTTTTGGAAGTTACAAAGTGAAACTAGGTAAGAGTGTTTGTCTTCATTTGGAATTCTTGCCATCTGGCAGCAGCTTCAGGGGAGATCTGGCAAGGTTTTGGGAGCCAGCTCTGCTCTTGGGAGCACTGGGGCAGGAAACACTGGACATTTTTTTTCCATGCCTCAAACTTTCCCTTCCATTCCATGTGCTGGGCAAAGCATCACAATTTCTTCTCTCACTCTGCTGGGTTAGGAAGTGGTGTTGGAGAGTGAGAAGAGGTCCTGCTTTCCATCCACTGTTGTGCTCAGCATTCCAACATGCCCTCATCCTCCTCTGTCACTTCTTAACACACTTTGAACTAGAGCAGACAGATTTCCATCTTTTCTAAGTTTACAGTGATACAGAAATTCTCAAAATGTATCACTAAGCTTTTCTTCCTTACAGCTCAAGTATATGCATACTTTTTAACCATATTTCTTTACTGTCTCTAACAGGAACAGGGAAGACATCAAAATTTAAGCCTAATCCAAAACTTGTGGACCATGGTCAGTCCAGCCCTGAAGATGTGGACATGTACAGCACCAGGAGCTAAGCCAAGTCTCCTTTACAAACTGCAAAATGTTATAGATAAGGGGGAGGGAAGAAGGGAAAGAATAATCTTTACAATACGTAGCCTGTGAGGTGTTTTCCTCATAGGTAAATTGTGAGGTATTTTCTTATCTCCAATTTGTATTATTGACTTACATGATTCTGTTTAGTGCTTATTTTGTTCTTGACTCCATATAAGCAGTGGGAATTCACTCAGTGTCATTAGTGGGACACTGGGAAAACAAGATTTGTCAGTGTCTTCTCCCAATGAGGTTTCTCTGTGCCAAACTTGCTAATAAATGTCACTTCACAAAGGATATTTAAAATGCAAACGTATCTCTGCTTTGGCTCAGATGTTCATTGATCTGAATGAAGAATGTGAGGGATGGGGTTTGCAGAGGCTTCTTTGTCTTTTATCTTTCAGCTCTGGAATGAATTACAAGTTGCTGCTGGCCTGAGTATCCTTAAAATCTCTGTGGCTGTATCATGTGAACAGCATTGGCTTTAAAGTTTGTGTAGAAGAGTCACTTTTTTTCATTACAAAGTAATTTGGTATTGTTTGGTACTTTAGCTTGCAATGGTGAATGGAAACAGCTCCTTGTCCTGCACACCTCTGCTGTGTTCAAATGTCTCTGAAGTTGGGCAAAAACACACAGCTGATCTCTAAACATCCTTACTAAACCCTGCATCAGTTTTCACCTACTTCTAATACTTGGAAGAATTGTGTTTAAATTGCTTAATCCATGAAACTGATACTGAATTGATATAAAATCCAGTAGAAGTGTTTAGGAAGTTGGAAATCAGTAGTTCCAAAGTTTAATCTGTTGACAGACAGTAAAAATGCAGAAGTAGTAGGCAGCCAACCTTTTCATCCCACAAGTTTGTATGCAATATCTCATTGATTTTGGTAGAATTTCTGTGAAATTCTGTTTTTCCGTAAGAATGATATTAGAAATTAAGTTTCCTAGGATGAAACTTTCAAACACTGCTTTTATCATGGTGTATATCCCTGTACTTCTGTTCATCCTCCATTTCTCTTCATTCTGTTGCCTTTCAATTAATGAAAATATGGACTTTGCTGTAAACTTGAGGGGGAAGCAAGACAAACCATATGAGCAGATAGTGTGGATGGAAGGCTAAAGCCTGAAATGCTGCTGTTCTCAGCACTGGGATGTAGTAGGATATTTGCCTCTGCCCTTCAGAAGAAGAAATTTCACAACCTGATTCCTTCTCCAAGGCTGCTGATGCTAAGACAGATAACAGGCAGAATTCCTGGTGTCCCTGTGGGATCTGCAAAGTTGTGAGGAGATGCAGGATGGAACGTGCAGAAGGCACAAATGGTGAATGAGCAAAAGAAGAAAAGCTTTCAGGATGTGTCAGAAACAAATTGATATTTTAAAATCCAAATTTCAGGTGAAGCGTTGGTCTTTGTTACACAGGGTCCAGTGGAAGGTGAAGTCACAAAATGTGAAGTTTAAAAGAATTCCTTTAGTTAAACTTGCCTGGGACAGCTGACAGGATTTAATGTGTTTTGTTTCTTTAATCATTTCTTAAAGGCCCAGGCAATGTCAGAATTCAGGCAGCAATCAGAGGATATTAAATCAATCTTCAGAGAGTTCCTAGACATGCCACATTTAGTGTTTCATCACAGAGAGAGGAGTAGAAAAATTAGATGACTGGGCTTCATATACCATTTCAAGGGAAACAGATGAAGACATAAGTGAAAATTGTGAAGAAATTATCATTTTCAAGTGCATGACTGGATGCCAGAAATTGTATTATCTGTCTCCCTTTGATAACATTCTGGATAAACACATAAAGGAAAAGCCATCTGCTCTACTTCCAAATTGTTAAATTCTAACTTTGAGTTATGTGCTACCACAGCAAGTCAACAGGAAAGGTAAGATGATGCAGATTTGCTTGGATTTTGGAGGAGTTTACTGTGGTGAGATTTTTCAGGACATAATGAAAAACTCTGCCCTGGAATTGGTCTCGTGGGAGCAGGGAGAGGAGCTGCCTTGGATTGCTGCTACAGAACCAGCACATCTCCCTTCCCAGGAGAGCAGGCCTTGGGACATTTCCCTGGTGCCAAAATCTGCCCTGGGACTTTGCCAGGTTTTGAGGGCATTTCCACGCAGACCTGATGATGCAGGTGGGGGTGTCTGGTCTGCAGATATCCATTGGCTCTGTGGTTGGGCAGGCAGGAATCAGGGTTTCATGCAAACCCCTCAATTGCAGCCCCTGATCCTGTTCATGCTGCACATGGCCCCAGTACACAAAGCTGTCCTGGGGCTGGATTTCAGTCTCAAATTGCTCCTTAGGGCAGTTTTGGGATAGAATTGAACCTCAGAGTTAAATATCTTCTGGGACAGAACTTAAAATGAGTGTTCCCACCCACTGTGATGAACAAACAGGATGGGGGATGCAGTTCTGTAGCTCACAGAATGGAGTCCCTGTGCTGTGGGATTTTTTGGTAGGTGAGAGGAGCGCCCAGCACAGGATTATTCCAGCTCAGGGTTTGCCAGGTGGCTGCCCCATCCCTAGAAGTGTCCAGGGCCAGGATGGACAGGGCTTGGAGCAACCTGCAGGGTGTCCCTGCCTCTGGCAGGGGTGGAAGAGAATGGGCTAGAAGGTCCCTTGCAGCCCATTCAATGGTCAATGGTGCTGCTGCTGCTGCTGTTATTGTCACTTTTTAATTTATTTTTTTCATCAACTGAGATTTCTTTTCTCCTCAAGGCAGGGTAATTTTCTGTTTGTTTAATTTGTATCACCAGTTTTTGTTTACCATCCCTATACAGTGGGGTTAAAATTAGAAGGTTTGGTTGTGAAACAGGTACAGCTAAAGACAACTCTTCCCTAACTGCAGCCAAAGAAAGTGGGAGAAAAGTATGGGAAGTTTTGTATTCTGGCAGCTTTGTGTTCTCTGCTTTCAGTTCAGACATCTGAACCTCCAGCCACATATCTGTATTAGTAATTTCTAGTAAAGGTGCTATGCAATGGCTTTAAAAAAGCAAATTCAGATCACATGATGCCATGCTTGTGAGTCCTGGCTCACCATGTGCCTGACTTGGGCTCTTGAAGGTTTCAGACCCAATAGACAAACCTGTTACAGTGAAAAGTTAACATAAAATGTGGGAAAAGTTTTGAGACATGGTTTTATTAATTTATTGTGAAACACTTTGAAATGCCTCTCAAATGTATCCTTAAGAGTCACTTATTTCACAATGCAATAATATAGTAACATCATAAAAGAATGTATATTTTAATTTTTATATAAGATATATTTGTGAAAAATTCAATGTCTTAAAGAATGGGGTCACATGTATTTTATAATGCAGAAATAGCTTTAATGCATGTTTTTTTTAATTTATGGTTGATTGTATTCAATATAGAGAGATTTGGATCTTGTTTATATTAATTTTTTATTTACATAGAATTGGTTGTGATACTTTATTTTGTCATATCACTGTGAAGCACCTGAAAATAAAGGGTAATAAGATACTTTTTAAAAGCTAAGTTTAATTTTTGTCTGTTGTTTTCATCTATAGGAAAATTGTCAACCCCTTCCCTCTTTAAAGAGTTCATTTCTAATAAGTAAGGTTTATTAATGTTGGGGCAAAAATTTCACCCCTGAAATACTGAAACACTCCTGGAAGAAATCACTGAAGTAACAGGAGAGATCAATGCTCAGTGGCCTAAATTTTGAGAAGTGCTTCCATTTTCTTCTTTTGGTATTTTTTTTCTAAAGAATGGTGTAGTTCAGGACTTGGAAAAACTACAGTTTTTATCCATGCTGGAGAAGAGACACGGTTCAAGAAGGAAGCAGGTGGTAAATATGTTTGTCTCAGTTTGACTGTGCCAGTCTTGCAGATAAAATGATTTGTCAAGCAAGGGTCATAAATGATGTAATCCATGGTGTAACCTAAGGAGTGGATTACTCGAAAGGAGGAAAATTGTGTGTATGAATGATTGGGCTGTTTTAATGGCAGATTCTCACTGTGAATCTTGAACAGCTTGGGAAATACTGGAAAAGTATTGAAATGCAGCAGTGTTGTTATCTTGTAGTGAAGGTTTGGAGTATTTCAGTGAAGTGCTGGAAACATATTTGAAATCCAAAAAGAAAGTGGGGTCCTATGAAGCCAGTACTTTTTAAAAAGGACAATCAGTAGGCACTGGATTATGTGTGGTTTTAATTTTAAAGTGCAGGATTCCCAGAAGCCAAGCTCATCAGTGCTGGTGGCAAGCTGCAGCCAAGAAAGGCTGTGACTGAAGCCATTCTAGAAGTTGGTGTATCTTTCTCCCTGCCCCTGATGTGCTTTTGTTGTGGCCCAGAGCCAGAGAACAAACCCCAGAGAAACCCTGGGTTCTAGGTGCAGTCAGTCCTTTGTCCTTTTGTTTACAGACACAGGAGATGGATTTTGCTGCAACAACTGAAAGAAATTCTGTTGCTGTGAGCAGGGAATAGGTGAAAAGTGAGCCTGTCACGGTTTCAAGCCTTGGTAACCTTTTCTGGGCTCTGTTTGTAGCAGTCCTCATACCAGTGTTAGCTCGTGCTTGGTTTGTGTCACTCTCAGGGACCCCTGCAATGCAGAAGGAGAGACTGGACTCCCCAGCCATCTTGAACCAGATGTGAAATGAATTAAAAATCATGAGTAGTTCCATCTTCCACCGTTAATTTTGGTCGGTAACTTTGGTTTACACATCTCTCTTTGAAGAAATTAAATGAGCCTGGATGCCATTATAGAATGCATAACTTGGCACTTGATTCTGCTGAGTTCCAGAAACTCAGACAATAAGAGAAGGAAATGCGTGTGCTGTGGAATACAAAGCTCTCAGCTGCTCAGGCCTGCTGGCACTGGGTTTATTTTCTGTTACCCAAGTGGGCACTGAAAACAGAAACCGACTCACATCTTCTGCAGCCCTTCGTGATGCCATGTAAAACCTGCTGCATCCAATAAATGCCAATGATGTAGCAAAGTGAAGACTTTGGGGTTTGTAACCTGCCTCATTAAAACATCTCACCCAAGGAAAAACTGCCCACTGCATTTCTGCATCCTTGAATCAAGTCTGACAGCCCCAGGTAAAGGTGTTGTTTACCAGCCAAAGGGAGGCTCCCACTGAGCAGCTGGGAGCTGGAGGCAGAGGGAAATTCCCTGTCAGCCAGAAGAATGGAGTATCTAAGGACCTGCTTCTTCACACTTCTGCCTTGCATCTGAAGAAGGATCATGCAATTTCTTCCATTGAGGTAGACAGTAATTTCTTTGTTGTGGTCTGTTGTAAAGCAATCTTCTGGCAGGACTGAGAATCTCTTATCTACTGCTGTAATGTTAAGTGCT